TCTCAAGTACTTAGGGTCTCGTTTGAAAATACTCGAGTTTCAAGTGCACACTAAAGGAGAAATTGTGATTAATTCACACTTACCATTTATGGTTCCATGTGCACTTGAGGAAACCCTTGAACAGGTTGCACTAGAAACCCAACTCCACAGCTTGACCAACCCTGGACCAGGATCGCCTGCTGGGAAAAAAGAAAAGAAAAGCAAGCCCCACTTGGAATGCTGGCTGTATCCGTGGCGTGAAGTAGAGGCTCTCTGGAGAGGTACCTTCAGCTCAAGTGCTAACTGGCCTGGGCCGCACTTGAGTTTCGAGGGCTGGCACTTGAGAGCCCGAAAGTAGAAACAACTCCGCGGCCAAATTTGGGCGGGCGTGGATGGAAAACGGATCCTACAGGTTAAACACCTGTGGAATGAAGAGGAAGATCGATGGATATAAGAAGAGGAAGCTCGCTCCCTGCTTCCACGACTGAGAAATGTACCGGGTAATTTGTCAGCTCTACTAGAAGCAATGCCCCCTCACTGGTCTACTATTATGAAGAAATCGTCGGAAAGAGGGGTGGGGACCTGGTTGCTCTCCGAGGAAGATCACTACTGTGTATGGGAAGTGTTAGGTTCGGAGTTGTCCTCAGGGGTTAAGGTGCAAGAATGGTCACAGGGGATAAGGAGTGGCCAAGGGGATCTCTGACCCGGCAACAAGAAAGGACAATACAAGAAACAGCGGACTTGACAGAAGTTAGAGTCCTGCAGAGCAGCAAAATGACTATTTTGCTGGGGGAAGCAAGTCAGTTCAAGGTGGAACCAAAGCTGCTGGGATGGCAACATGGACAACAGGGCTCAGTGACCCGGACCCAGACACCCCTCATTCGCTATAAAGTGAAGACAGGGGTAATGGCTATCCGCTCTCAAGCCTCTCGTACTCCAATAAGCCTGGCCTCCTCCCGATTCGCAAGACTGAAGGGTGCAGAGGCGAGCCAGCCAGACTCGCGACAGCAATGGCGGGCAGTGCAGAAAATCCCCTCACAAAAGACGGCGAGCCTGCTGTGGCAACAGACTTTGCAGGTAGTGCCATCAGCCCAACGGTTGGCAGCAAGGGGAATGAACATCCTAACTATGTGTACCTGTTGTAACTGGAGATAAGAGTCAAACTCCCACCTCTGGGTCCATTGCCCCCTAGCAGATGAAATCTGGCAGTGGTGGACTGAGTTATGGAAAGTGGTTAACACAATACATTTGAATGGAATGAGGACTGGATACTGTTTGGAGCCCTCCCATCTGCAAGGCCTAACTACTGTGAGGGCTGGGGATACGTGGCATTGGTTTGTAGGGGAGTAATCATGCAAGAAATTTGGAATGCAAGAAACGCACAGGTTTTCAAGGGTGAACGGCGCTCAGCCCTCCAGCAAAGACATTGTATACGCAGAAGCATCAGGCTGATGATTAAGGCAGACTGGAAAATAAGCTCAGGCCCTCAGGGCAGAGGCCGACCCTGGTTTCAGAAAACCTGGGCAAGAGAAAACCAAATGGCAACAATTTCAGAGGACGGTAAATTAGGAATTGCCAGATGGTTGAAGCCACCATGATGCTGGTAGGTGGGTTTGGTGAATTATTACGTTTCTACCCTGTGCTTCTGGACAACGTTTTCCACGGATACTAAAGGGTAGAGGAAGGGACGCTGGACCCGGTTTCCAGCAGCTGGGCATTGATTTCAGTAGCAAACCACATAGATTACCTTTTTTACTGTGTGCTTCAAGACAATTTTGGAAAGTTGTTGGTAGAGGAAGGGACGGTGGACCCGGTTTCCAGCAGGGGGGCGACCTTTTCTGAGCTCTTGGTTGGTTAGCGTGCTCTGCTCGTAAGCGAAACTGGCTGACGCTGCCAGGATAACTCCGGGTAGAATTGTGAGGTCCCCGGCCTGGTTCTTTTGATTTATAATGCAAGTACAAGCTTTCAAAAAAGAAAAAAGAAAAAAAAAAAGAGTTTTCCTTCAACCCTTGAGTTCAAGTGGTGTGGAAAGAGGCCCTTAGCTGTGGGCCTAGTTGCACTACTCACCATCCGTCACATTTCGTGGCGGATCCGGGGAGAGTGAAAAATATGAGAATCGTGTCGAACTCGAGGCCTGGTTAAACGTACTCGCCAAGAGATTTCTTCTACAGAAACGTTAAAAAAAATTGTCTCCCCCATGTCGACTCCTGAAGCCCTGCACTCTCCAGAAAGCTGTTTTGTGGCGAGGTCCGAAGACCACCCTCCACAAACCGCCATGCACAGGCGGGGAAACTGAATTGATGCATGAGGCTTCTCCAGTTACATAAGTAACATAAAGCGATTCAGCACGTCTTTGGCTTGATGCATGAGGCTTCTCCAGTTACAACCTCAGCCCTGCTATAGATGTCGTCCAGCCTTGGATGCTCTCCTGCTATAGATGCCCTCCTGCTATTGCGTGCTATGGTTGTCATTCCTGCTATTATTGTCCGCTACAGATGCCAATCCACCTATAGTCTATAGATGCCCTCCTGCTATTGCGTGCTATAGTTGCCGGTCTTGCAGTTCAACTTCCGTTGCATTACATCCCTTGCAAAATATCAAACTAGCCCCTAGATATGGCTTTGAAATTCTTGTCTTGTAGTGGCCCGTGGCCGTCTTACTTACAGCAGTTATCGATGCACTTTTTGCCATATGAACAGTCGCTGTTAGCGCAGCACTCCACCTTCTTGCATGAGCCTCCACAACACTTCTTTCCATAGCCACATTGGCTGCTAGAGCAGCACTCCTTGCACTGGCCACTGCAGCACTTCTGTCCGTAACTGCAGTGACTGTCAGAGCAGCACTGACCACTAGTGCAGACCCCTCCGCAGCACTTCTTTCCATAGCCACACTGACTGTCGCTGCAGCACTCCTTGCACTGGCCGCCGCAGCACTTCTTTCCATAGCCACAGTGGCTGTC